GTTTTGTTCGCCCGTGTGTTGGGGTGGGGGGGGGGGGGGGTGGCTCTCTGTGTGCATGTATATGTATCTGGTTCTCTCTCTGCTCTCCTTTTTCTCTCTCTCCCCCTTATTTCTCTCTCTCTCTCTCTCTCACTGCAACATGCTTAACAAAAAAGGAATACACAAAAGCAACATTTATAATTATTAAATATACTAATATGCAGTGCATCCTGCCATGTACCTCCCCCTCCCATCCCTCATTTTGTTTTTCTGGCATACTGGCACTCCAGCACCTTGCAAGGTAGACACTGTGGTTTTTTCGGCACTCCTGCCAAAAAAATGTTGCCTACCCCTATCCTAGATAGTTAATTTACATCCATTTCTGTACATGACACATTCCTGAATTATAGCACAAACTCCTTGCATAATTTTAGCAGAAGAAAACATGGGAGAAGCTACTTGCTGGCACAAATAGAATGGAAGGCAAAGATTAGAAAGGGAATGTTAAAGAAAAAAGTGCTGGTTTAATCAGTTATTTACCTCAAATAATAAAATTTAGAGAATCAAGTTTTTTCACAGCTTACTAAAAAAACCCCCACAAACACATAAAAGAATAATTTTAGGTATGCTAAAAAGATCTCCTTAACGGAGGAGAGAAAGATTAGCTCTGAAAATTTACTAGATATTGACAACACGAGGCAGCATTTAGAACCACTTGCTCACCCTTTTCTAAAGCTTTAAAATTAAAAAAAAAAAAAAAAAATCGACTCAGACTTTCACAAGTTAATGTCTAACACCTGCCTTACTGTATTATCCTTCCTCTTCAACAAGTAGTTTTAACAGATGGAATTTAAAAAGTAAAACTTATGCACAGAAGTAATCTCTCAAACACAAATGAGAAGGAAATCATCACAAAAGACAAAATAAAGATTAAACACCTGGTCTAAACAGAAATACTGAAGTGCTGGCCATCTATTCCTGAACTTCCGTGTACCACATCCCACAGAAGGTTGAAGTAAAACTGAAAAACCAACAAACAAGCAGGAATATTACTGATAAAGTGTTCAAATTCTTCTCAATATTTCCTTGGCCTAAAATAGTTGCACCAAGATACTGGAGGATGTGGAAATCAGGAAAAGCATAAACCTATCATCTTATAGAAAAAACATTTGTGGCTTACTTATAGCTTATATATTTTATTTTTAATTTGTATGCCATTGAAGCACTGTTTCCTTTAAAGATACTAAAAAGGCAAAGTTCAATTATGACTACTGACTCTGGTAAAGTTCACTGGAAAAAGAAAGTGTACCTAAGTGGCAGTCAGTCATAGCCTCTTAGATAAAACGGTGGTTCTCAAAGGACAAAAATGTCTAACTGACTTCCTGCCAATGGAAGCATGGCAGAGCCTGAAGTAATTAAGGGCTACAAGGACATCTAACTGTATTTACTCAATTAGAAGATAAGATCTTTTCCCCCATTTAACATGAGGGGGGAGAACCCTTGCCTTACAATCGAGCACAAGGCAGTGGGGGGGCAGAAGTTAGGGCTAGAGCTAAAGCTGCCCCCACAATGCCTCTGCATGCCCAGTTACTCCTCCCCTGCAGCCCCCACAACAGCCCTCCCACCCCTACTGCACTGCTCCTTGCCTTTGCTCTGTACCAGCAGACTCTGTCCTCACTGAAACCTGTAGCACAGAGCATGTGCTCCAGCCCAGTGGTTCTCAACCTTTGTATACCAGAACCTATTTGTAAACATTGACAGCCAGTCTCAACCCAGTGGCCCTCACTCCTGACCTGCTGTCCCCCACCCCCAGGCCCCCAGTATGTGGGGCAGGAGGGACCCCACATAACTCCTTGCAGGCTGGAACTCTACTAGCCTGCAAGGGAAAAGTCACAGTTTGCCACATTTTTCTTCTTTAAAGGAGAATCCATTTTTCAAAGTTTGTTTGCAAACCTTTCATATATTCTTGCGACTCACTTTTGGGTCTTGACCCACAGGTTGAGAAACACTGCTCTAGCCCAGTCCTGTAGCAGCCAGTGCCAGTTCCATGCCACTACTACGGGGCTGGGCTGGAGCCATGCTCTATGCCCCAGGCTGGAGCAAGGATAGACCTTACCAGTGCGGAGCAAACGTAAGGTTGAGGGAAGGATGGACCAGGGAAGACGGGGGGCAAGGGAAAGGGGATTGAGGCAGCCTGAGACCGCAGGGGGGGCAATCACAATGAGTGGGGGGGGAAGTGGCGGTGGGGAGGCAGCAGGGGGAAAGCTGCCTGCTTCTCTCACTCCCTGCCCCCTACCACTTGCCCCCTTACAGCCCCCCCAAGATTTGCTCTATCACGTGCCCTCATTACTGCCCCCCTCATCACCTCTTCCCCATCTGTCCGCAGTAGTGGGGGGAATGAATTTAAGATGATCCACCAATAATTTGATTGCATATATGCAAAATTATAACAACTTTATAAATTTTACCTGTATAGAATCTAATTATTGAGGGATCGTCTTAAATTCAGGGTCATTTTATATTTGGGTAAATACAGCACCTTGGGATGTTACTTTGTAAAAAGTCTGCCCAGGTAGGATTCTACCTGTACACCTCTCAAACCCAGGGTGGATAACTACCTAGAACTACTAGCCTGTTGGACAGTAGCTTACACCATGGTGGGGACAACCTGAGGCATGAGTGCCACAAGTGGCACAAGCAGCCTCAGTATGTGGCACATGGCAGATCAGGAAAGAGACAGGCAGCAGAACAGCAGATAGGGCAGGAATGAGAAAAGTGCGCAGGAGATTGGGCAGGAGACACTGAATAGGGAGCAGAAAGCTGAACTGCAGTTCTGACAGAAAAAAAGGATGGAAGTGGCACTAGGGGAGGGTGCAGGGCTAATTTGTGGCATGCCTGTCAAAATGGTTGGGCCACAGCGGTCAACACTGTGACAAACTGCTTGAACACTGGCTACTGAATTGACATTTTAGGATTGGAGATTCTGATCTTCAAATTCCTTATTAAAAATATATATATATATATATATATATATATGTGTATATATACACACATCTATACACATATATACACACAGTCAAACCACTTTCCATAGCAACCGCATTAAAAAGGGATATCAAATTAAAATGGAAACATTTTTTAAAAATTTTAATTAAATGTAGTTTCAGATGCAATTACACTTTTATAGAACTCAATACTTCCATGACTTTTGGTGCACCAACTATGATTTATCACAGAATAATGTCAAAAAGATACATTCTGTGTTTTGAATACAGTCCTAACTAACTGGAGACTTAATTATTACCTTCTGGGCACATCTACACAACACACTACAGTGCTGTAGCATCTGTTGGCAAAAACCACGACTGCCACTATATCACTAGCAACATGCTCCCTTGTTATAGCACATTGCTAAAGCGACGTAACAGCCAAAAATAACCACGTGTGGCCAGCCGGCTGGTACTTCCAAAAGGAAGTTCTAAATGATGGTGCAGTAACAAAGGCACTGTATGGCTATGTGTAGATGCTCCCTCTGTGTGCAACCACCCTCATTTCTCTTGTTCTCTTATCCCTACCTCTGAAGTTGCTCAATACACTTTATTGTCATTTATCTTTTCTCACAAGCTCCTGTAATCTAGTGGTTGGGTCTTAGCTCCAAGGTGGAAGGAGGTATCCTAAGAGGGTAAGTCTATTTAAATAACATTCTGTGTGCTCTAAATGAGGTGATATTTGTGGCAGGGGAATAAGCAAAACAGCAAAATTCCAGGTCACATATCCTTGACTTTAAAGGGGAGGATATTCATAATTTGGTGTCTGAGGTTAGACAACTAAATATTTGGCTTGATTTTCTCATTTGGATTAAAAGCACCCAAATTAAGACCCATAGAAGTTAGCTTTAACATTTGGCATGCTGCTATTCTTTATAACTTCTTAGTAAATTCATTTATAAATCCAGAAAATGAAACTGCTGGCCACTTTCACCACATAACTGCAAACCAAAGAAATCCTACAGAAATCAAGGAATCTATAAATAGAAGCAAAGATGACATATACTGGATACATTTAAACACACACATTTTTGTATTGTAAACAAAAATAACATGTTCCTTTCAGGTCACTGGCATGCTGTGAAGAAAATCTGCGTCATGCAGGATCAAATTCACTGGTCAGAAGAGGCATACACCAAATAACAAAGCACTACAAGCAAAAACTGAAAATGGCATACAAAGCAGCCTGGGGAAACCTTCTGTAGGTGGCATCCTTGGTTTTTCTTATGAAAAAAACATTTTTTTTTTTTAATGGAGACCATCATCTATTCATAGGACACAGTCAGTGATGCCAATGTTTATTAAGCTACATTAACAGTAGGTCTGGTTACCAATGTATGTAAGAGAAGCCATACTGACCTTGGTTCAAGTAGGTAAGAGTTTCATCATGTAATTTGACTGCTGGAGAGGTTGCAGCACACATAACATACTGAAACGGTGGGTGTTTGGTCTCATTTTCTGGTGGAAGGTTGGAATCTTCCTGTTTGAAAATGGGCAGCGCCAAAACATCACTGAAACAAAACCACCACAATATAAATATCAAAGAAACATAAACATCTCTTACAAAACAAAGAGAAAGGTTAAAATAAACATGGCCTATAGAGGAAAAATACTTTAAGTTAATGACCTTTAAATATGCAACTGGAGATGAAGTCAGTACATGGGCAAAACATGTATAGATTATTCATTTGGGACTAGTTACTGTGTTCATAAGCTTAATCGCCTGAGACAAACAATGAATTACATTCTTGTAAATGAACAAATAGCAGAGAATTTTATTATTGTTAAAAACCCATCTAATTCAGGGGTGCTCAACTCCCAGTCCGCAGGCCAGACCATCCTCTGCAGCCATCATCTGGCTCATGGGGCTCCCCACCCATCTGTGGGAAGCTGTGCGGGCTGCAGCCCTGTACACTATGTTGGGTACACAGGGAGGCGTGGGGCCTCCAGAGTCTGATACCAGCTAGCTGGGGGTGGTGTGAGGCTGAGCAAGGCCTGCAGATCAACCCCACACCATTCGTATGGTCTGTGGGGCCAAAACTATGAGCACCGGTGATCTAATTGATCCAGTTATCAATTAGATATTTGATTTTGCACAGAGTGCAGAATGGCTCAAGAACTAAAGGAAGTGACTTCTGTCATGAAAAAGAAGATCCAATGGAAAGCATACCATTAAGTAAAATTTGGTGTGAGCTTGTTAGTGAAGTGAAATAGCCTAAAAATGACATGAACACATCTTCCACCAAGACTTATGGCTGGGATTTTTAAAAAAGCAGAAGGAAGAGATGTAATTCAATGGAACTGTGATACCTAATCTCCTTAGAGTCCCCCCAAAATAACTTCAGTAGTTAACCTGAACTGTATAGCTACAATGGTCACCTCTCCTATTGCATACATAGTTTATACCAGGGGTTGACAACCTACAACCTGCAGGCCAGGTGCAATTTCCAGGCAGGCCAGATCTGGCTCAGGACATTGGCTGCACACAACTACACTGTACCCCTCTTCCTGCTACTCTCTTACTGCAGAATTTATCCCTTCCCCACTGTCTCTGGGAACGAGAATCAATGGTGGCTTTGGTGCTCTGGGATGCAAAGATTTAAGGCCTGCAGCATGGAATGGGTTTAAGCAGTGACCCATAACAGCAAAAGGTAACTGAAGGTAAATGGTTTATACCATCAACAGTACTTTTGCCAACCCAGCTTATACAAGCTCCCAAGGGAAATAACCTATCCTGTTAAAAACAAGTATTTTTTTGCCAGAATAACTGGATCTTAAGACTTCTGCCCCTATAAAAATGTCATAGAAAAGCCAGATCCCAACTCAAAATGAGCTTGCTTTACTTTAAGGATGTCCAACTTTTGAGCAGTTGGGGGCCCCTCTGCTGCACGGGCCGGAAGTGGAAATTGGAGGAGGGAGTGGGGTGCCTAGAGATCCCAGCTGCAGCAGGAGCAATTGTGGGAGTGGTGCCTGGGCAAAAGACTGTGGGCCCTGAGTTAACTGCCCATGGGCTGCTCTGCTTTCTCCCCAGTGTTTCTTCTGACATTTCCCCTCCAAAGATTACTTCTTGGGAGACTACTTGTGGGTTTCTTGTCTCCTACAGTTGTCCTGGAGTCCTTCCACAGCTTCTCTTTCAGGCCTGCCACTTGGGTATAATGCCAGAGCTTTCCTGCCTCATGAAAACTTTCTGGAGTCTTCTACCTTCTAGGTGTCCTTCTAAGGATCCTAGCCTCCTTACTTTAGGTTTACTTTCAAGGCTCATCCTTTTGCCAGCAATCTCTTAACACTGACTTGGTTTTTCTCCCCTGTCTTAGGTCTTCCTCCTGCTCTCTATGTAATAGTCTCTCTGCCTTCTGGAGCACTGATCTGATAGGGCTCACTCCCTGGGACCTTGTTCCTTTTCCAGTGCCTGCCACAGGAGGTAACAGCTGACATTATAGTTTCTTTTTCACAGAGAAAATATTTCTATCAGTGTTCCCCTTCCGCTATAGCAGGGGCAGGCAATTATTTCAGGCAGAGGGCCGCTTACTGAGTTTTGGCAAGCCATTGAGGGCCGCATGACAGGCAGCCAGGGGCAGATAAATAGTAATTTTCTAAATTTTTTAGGGGTCCCGCGCACCGGACAGAATGGCCTGGCGGGCCACATCCAGGCCATGGGCCACATTTTGCCCACCCCTGCCAAACAGGGTGCCATTCTCTACCATATCTAACAAAGAAACCTGCCAGGTCCAGAGAAAAGCAAAGGCAGGAAACTGTCCATAGAGAGAGAGGAAGGAATTCTGATAGAGCAGTTTTGAACTGCTAGCAACAGGGCTCCAGGTCTCAAAACCTGGGTAGAGCAAAGGCCTGGATTCACTTACCAGTTACTAACAAAGGTGTTGTGAAATCTCTGATTCCCAAGGGTAAAGGACTATTGGAGACTCTGAGACAATAAGCATAAAGATACATTGAGTCCAGTAGCAAAGGCTGAAGACCTGATGTAAGATCCCAGGAATATGGCTTGGTGGACTTTCTTACCCTAGAACAGGGCTGCCAGTAGACAGCCCATGGGCCACATGCAGCCTGCAAAGGATTAATGTGCAGCCCCCTTCTTTCACCAGGCTGCTGCTGCCCCTCACACTCTGGCTGTAATAGCAGCCGGGAATTTCAGGG